CAGTACAATAAGCATATAGTTGTTGGGTTGATGATCTAAGTAAATGTGGTAAGGCTTACTGTATTCCCTGGTATTTTGTTAAAGCTGGAACATTTGATATTTTTCCATTTATTTATGACAAATATTGAACCTATTTTCATTTGTATGAGCTAATTGTTTTTTAACTGCTAAGTCACCTTATAGTGGCTTTAATTGTATACGTCAAGCACATGTATTCAATTCAAAACCTGCAGTTAGTAGGATGTTTGACATCAGTCCTGATAACCAAATACGAGGATTCCTTTAAAAAAACAAACAGACAAAAAGACTGACTAATGTTTACAGGTTTGAATTAGGCTTAAATAGGTTACTCTGGGTTTTAAGAACCCATTAATTGGAATGAAACTACTGTACTTTGCCATTTTTCTATAAAACAGTATTTTTTTTTTAATTTTGATAAAATACATTATGAAAAAGAAAGAAAATGGCTAACAAACTGTATTAAATCTTAATGTATAAAGATTGTATTTAGCCAGTTTAAAGTGTATATTTATTCATAATGGATTATAACAGTTATATTTTTGTGTTTTCTTGTAAATGTTTCTTTTCCCTTAAAGCAACAAATATTTCATTTGTAATGCTTATTTTATTACGAGCTTCAAGGAGAGGACTTCAAGACGGAGTAAGGTGTGAGGTTATAATTTGTGGTTGCTGATATGAACACTGCCACAAAAGGGTAGTTGTTTTTAAAATAAATAGCTAGCTGAGTGGTAGACATTTAATTTTTTAAATGCCTTGTACAAATTCCAAAACCAACTTCAAACTGTTTTCACTTGTATTGATTTTATGTTGTATGGATCCCAAGCTCTCTCCTGTTAATTATATACCTTTGTAAGACATTTGTATATTGCGGAAGTGTTCATTCAAGCTATTTAATACCTGGCACTGTTAATACACAGTACTTTATTGTACAGATTGTTTTACTGTTTTAATTGTAGTTCTGTGTACTTCTTTTGCCTGGGGAAATAGGGGCTGGCATGTTTTTCTTTGTTTTCTGGCAATACAACATGTAAGAATTCAAAGCATTTTGTTTGTAGATGCTAGAGTGTCAGAATCCTTTACATTTGACTTTTCTAAGAAAAGCATTTTCAGTCTTCGTAGTGTGTGCTTAAGGTTAACTGATTTTATTGAAAATGGTTTCAAAGTATTCAGAATTGTACAGGACTGTAAAAATTTGTTGACAAACGTTGAAGGAAAAGCTTATAGAAAAAAGCTATAAAATATATATTAGGTTCTGCAGAAAAATGGAGAATTATGTAATATATTGTACAAATGTAAGCAAAGGCCTCTGAAATAAAATGCCATAGTTTGTGAATCCCTGATTTTGTTTCTAACAGTTTAATTAAGCAACCATACTGTGTTCATTAAAATGACATCAAGCTGCAGAATCAGTTTAGCAAATGATCTTTGATATGGTGTAATAGGCATATAAAGGTAAGCTAGAGCAGGTACATTGGCCTAATTTTCCTCTTAGCAATTAATTCAAATTCATCCTCTTTTTCAGCAAAATGAGAAAGAGATCATTAAAGCGACGCCGGCTGAAAAAAAGTTGAATTTTGATCCACGTTAATTCAGGTAGTTTGAAAATGTAGAAGCAAGCTCCTGAAGATAGTTGCTGACTTCTAATATCGACTGCCTCAAGTTCAGATTCAGTGGAAGTAAAACTGGAATAAAACTTTTAGTGTTATCCGCTTACATCATGTCTGGCTGTAGTTCAGTTGACCAAAATACTGTTACACCTGCAAAATGATAGGTTACTGATGAGACTGGTAAATAACAAACAACGGTAAGCTTTGGAAACATTGACTGTGTTAATAATTACCAGTGATCTGAGACTGATGGGAGTAATTTTAATAATTTCAGTGCAGCTCCTCAGAGGATATTCACATATGTTTAAGTTTAGCAGAATCAGAATCTTAATAGTTCAGTTCTCTGCCTTTCAGTCTCAGTATGCGTGACTGGTATTGATTTAACTGGGAACTACATCTGGGCAAGCAAGAGCAAATTCAGCTCTCCACTCACTACTAGTTCTTGATCAGCTCTCAGTTTTACTGCCAACATTTTTGCTTTGATGTGACAATTGTTGACTCGTGTTCTAGGAGAGGATTTGCTTGTTTACTTGTTTAAAACAGGGATCATTAGTCACCTCCCCACTCTCCTATTTATGCAAAAACTCGGGGTTTTGCTGTTCTTTAATACAGATTATTTAATTTTTGTTGTACTTTTCATGCAGTTTAATGACTAATCTGTTCTGGATTTTTTTTTTTTATTGCACCTCTCCTCTGAAGTGTGCTTGTAAATGGTACTCCCCAGGTTCACGTTACTTGCATCCCAGTGGTTACAGAGGACAGTTAGCCTTTGGCAAACTGTTAGCCAGGCAATTTTATCCCATGTTCCAATGAGTACAATCTGAGCTGCTTTTCAGGTTACATATTGTAATGCAGCTTTAAATGTGGGTGTGCTCCCTGCTCAGCATGGACACTGTGATTACAGCTGAGAAAGTTTCCCTCTAGCAGTGATTGCTGGGCTGTGCTCATACTCTTGGGTACCTGCTCGGACTGTGATGTGAAAGGCAAAGTCAGAGAAAGCACCCCTCCTTTATCCTTTACACCTTCCCTGAGCGACAGAATCAGTTTTGCATGTCTCATGTTTGATGGTGTTGAGAACAGCTGAGAGTGTAGACTCATGTGCTGAGAGAAAGCACGACTTGCTTGAAGGCTGTCTGCATTGCTCACGACTCCCTTTATTTACAGTCTTGACCGATGCTTGTACGTATTTGTTACTGTGTTGTTTCCATCATGCCATGAAGTTTCCCTGTCACCACAGGGCTCCATCCCACTCTCTGGGAGAGTTCCTGGAGGCTGTATGCCTTTTGTTGAGCTTCAGCAATTACGAGTCTCTGAAATCAGCCAGCTGAACGCTTGTCCAGTGCAGTTTTGACGTATTTTGATGGTTCGGCCTGTTCTGCCCCACCTGTGTCGCCTACAAAACTGCTCCATTGTGTGAAGGTAGATTGGAAAAGCCAATACAAGTAGTGCAGCTGCCACCTGCCAGTTTTTAAGAATTTGTGTCTTCTCTTGGGCTGACCCCATCAATGAGGGTCCCTAACTTTCCTGGCATCCAGAAGGCCAGGCACGGGATGCCTGGTGCACATGTCAAGACTAATGCTTTACCTTTCTTCCGGATCCTAATGACTTGTTTTGCCTTCAGTTTGAGATTGGTACCAACAAAACTGCTAATGCTGCCAGTTCAAAAAGTGTATAAAAGGTTACAACAGAAGAGCTATTTGTAGTTGCTTCAGCTTTTAAGTGCCTGGTAATTTTCTATGCCTTTACAATCATTATCACACCGTCTAGTATTTAAGATTACATTCTGGACAGGCAGATCTAAAAGGAGATCCCAATTAGGTGCCTAATTTCAGAGAGTAAGTAACAGATCAAACCTTCCTTATGCATCAGCTGCACTGCAGCCTGGGTTGGAAACCGCTCTGTTTGAGAATGAACCTAACAAAAAAGGGTCTTTTCCATTTGGATCAGTTATCCAGCTCTATCCGTGATCCAGAGCATTTACCTCTACTGGCTACAGAGTGATGCTTGGGGGGAAGAGGTACAACTGGTTCCTCATTTTCCTGTCCCCGCGGCTACAGTCCTCGTTTGCCCCAGGAAGTACTGGATTTCAGGGATTTTTCACCAGAAAAATCCTTACGTGCTTTAAAAGCCTGCTGCGGATCCCAGGTACAGATGAAACTGGCTGCCCAAGTGATGCTTCGGGATGATCTCTCTGGTGGTCTAATAACTTCTTAGGATGGTTTAAGCAATAACTGCTTAACTGCCTCTGGCTCTGCGCTCTTCCTATAACCCAGTTTTGTTTGTGACGCGTACCCAGTCTATCACAGGCCAACAAGCATGGAAACCATTCCATTCCGGTCGCTCTTTACACCCCTCCCTTCCTTTGCATTTTGTAACCCTTTCCCAGGTTTGTCTCAAGGTGAGCTACTACACAAGGGGCTGCGCGAGCACCAGCAGGACGCTGCTGCCTGTGAGCTCCAGCGTGAGGTCACCCACCCCTGGCCACCGTGCAACTCGGTGGAACGGCCCTTCCGTCAGCCCTTTCCCGATGGCTTCAGCTTCCTCTGCCAGCACCAGCCCTGCCTGCCGCAGACCAGACTTCTCCAGGGTTTCTGTTTAATCTGCGCTCAAGGACGATGAGGGCGTCTTGCACTGACCTTAGCTGGGGGTGGGGGTGAGTGGTTTTTTGTTTGGTCGGTTTGAGGTTTGCTTTTTTTGTTGTTTTTTTTGTTTGTTTGTTTGTTGTTTTTTTTTTTAAACTTCATCCTGGATGTGGGCTGGATAGCAGTGGTGAAGCTCTATTTGGACAAGAAGAAAGGACGCTGCAAGAAGTACTTCCACAGCAACATGTGGCAAAGAAAGTTGTTATTCTTCCTGTAGTTCTGTTTAATCTGCGCTCAAGGACGATGAGGGCGTCTTGCACTGACCTTAGCTGGGGGTGGGGGTGAGTGGTTTTTTGTTTGGTCGGTTTGAGGTTTGCTTTTTTTGTTGTTTTTTTTTTTGTTTGTTTGGTTTTTTTTAAACTTTATCCTGGATGTGGGCTGGATAGCAGTGGTGAAGCTCTATTTGGACAAGAAGAAAGGACGCTGCAAGAAGTACTTCCACAGCAACATGTGGCAAAGAAAGTTGTTATTCTTCCTGTAGACAACAGCGATGTTGGCTTTTAACCACCTGTGGCACTCTGAACCACTTCAGTGATTTTTAACTAGAACCAGCTCGAGAAGACAGAAGTAATCACAGAGTAATTTCCACCTCCCTTCTCAGACGGAGCTGAGCACAGCAGCGTTGGACCTGAGAGTCTCAGGAAATGAAATAAATTAAACGACCTATCCCAACATTTTTTCCCCCTCAAAAAACCGCGTGCAACAGCCACAGCTGATGTTTCAGGGTTTTATGTTGGGACAGGGCCCGCAGAAAGCCGAGCAAACCCTGGCGGTGCTGGGCCGGGATCCCCGCGCCGGGGTCAGCCAGCGGCGGAAGAGCCAGCGGGCGTGGAAGTGCTGCCTCCACACGGCGCCGGTCCCGGCCCCTCACGACACCCCCGGCCCCGTCCCACTCCCTCTCAACGGCAGCGTCGCCCTCCCTCAGCGGAACCGGCCGCGCCGGAAGTGACGCGGCGCGAGTCCGTTCCCCTTCACCCTGCCATCTGAGCGGCCATGGGGGCTCGGCGGC